AAACTAATCATGTGATTCAGGTGTGTTGACCCAAGGTGAGATCTAAAACCTGCAGGGACACCGGCCCTCGTGGACTGAGATTGCCCACCCCTGTACTAGACGAACCCTGATATGTCCATCTGCAGCCGTTTGTTTTTGGTGGCATGGCTCCATGTGGGACCTAGCTAGTTAGACGTGAGTAACCGTATCAACAGATCCATGAGGTTACATTGGCTCGCGATGACATCGCCTGAGTTTGATTTTGTGACCTGTTTAAACTAAAGTTGTTTCCTGATAGAAATATAGAACGTAGAAATATACCACATTAACAAATGTGACGCACAGACATTAAGTCTTTAGTATCCATGTCTGCAACAGAAGATAGTCGATGCAAAGGGTCGAGCAAGAGTGCAGACAAGCATGAGAACACACAGAGCAGAGATGTTCAGTGAAGCTACTTTCAGCTGCTCCCTTATTCACAAGAGGCTGCTAAAGTGGATCGCTCCACATGTTTTGATTTGGCCGATCATTCTTTTTGCTCTTAAAAAACACGAGATGCCCTTCCTGACGCAACCGAAGGGATTTGTCTCTCCTTCCGAGATCGAAGCCTCTGTATAACAGAAATAATGAACAAATGTTTAAGCTCATGCAATTTCGGGATATTTTGCTTTTCCTTGTAATTTTTTCTATTAACTAAGAGTCTGTTTTATTCCATCAGGTTGCAGGATGCAGCCGTGGTCTAGCTGGACAGAGTGCACCAAACCATGCGGGGGAGGGATCCAGGAGCGTTTCAGGGTGGCAAAGAAAAGAACAAAGTCCAAAGGCTGTAAGGACAGGAAGGAGATCCGTGCCTGTAACGCTCGGGAATGCTAGGGGGCACTGCTAAGCTAGAGAGAGGCAGGGAGGTGTGCAGTGGATTAAACGTGAAAATCAGAATTCATTAAAAACAGTGGTGACAGAGATTGATTTTTTTTTTATGTAGCTGGGAGGAGACGTACAGGATTATTATGGGTTATTATTGGAAAAATCTGAGGATTTAAGTAAGGATTTAAGAAAGGGAAGGAATAAGAAGAATAAGACATAATGACATGCTGTTTTAGTGACGATTTTGTGGACATTTAGTTAACTGGGTTCATTTATTTTCCTTTTAGAGCATAGTGGAAGTATTAGAGAGAAAGCCTGTGTCCTGCAAAAAAAAAAGAAAAAGAAGAAGGAAACCTGACGCTAAAGTAACCTAATACATATTTTGCAACAAACTTTAACTTTTTAGTTAGCTTTTGTTTACTCCTAGTAGGAAAGTATTTTCACCAATATCTCCTTGTCCTCTGCAGCACCTCCAAAACATTGATTTAGCTACTAAAAAACAGGAGCTGAGCTTTTTAGTGAAAGCTGGATACTTTTAATGTACTGTTTATGTAAAGGCTCTACTGGGGAGAATTCAAAATTAGCATTAGCAAAGTGGATTACACGCTCTGTATTGGAAATATGTTAACCTGCTTTGTCCCTATTAAGATGCCTCCTATAACACTACCAGACAACTTTAATCTGACCATTAAATGCCATTAATACTGTGATACTACTTTACTTTGATTTAGTGTTTCATCCAGTGCTACTGTTATATTAAGATTTGTTGCACATGAAAAATATTAGTTCAGTGAGAACTATTATACATCTGTACTATAAGGTCAGACACATGATAACAGGAGGAGCAGGGTGGAGGGCAGTTGCAAAGCAGCTTGTAGTGACAGTGGAGAAGCTGGATGGATGAATGTGTAGAAGGGAATCAGCCGGGATTGTGACCGAGTGGGAAGTCGTGATCTGTCTGGACTAATGCCATGTTTAATTATTGCTCTTAGTTTGTGTGGTAAAAGGATGCAACT